CTCCCTTGCTTTTGCATGTGCAATTCTGTATTAGAGGCCAGATATTTATGTGTAACTCCACATTAGAATAGTGTTAGCATGACTTATTCTTGAGAGCTTTCTTTCACTTCCCTGTGATTTTAAAAAGAAGGACAAGATGTATATGTGAATGAGAGAGCATTCAGATATGTTTCCTGTACTAATGTAAATCAAGAGGCATTTGAATTTGTTGAGATGCTTCTTCACCTCCCCCATAGCAGTAAAACGTTTTTTACATATAAAATGAGAAATTAGCTTCCAATATAGCTGCCATAGAAGAATTCTCCCAGAAATATAAGCCCGAAGGGACAAATATGTGATAATCCTTTGGGAACAGTTCTTGAAGCTACTTGGGGCACTAAACATATTTTCCTTTTAAGCCTCTTAACAGTAACTTGAATACATGGTAGTAGGTCTAGTACCAGCGAACAGCAAATAGACCGATGGTGCTTTGGATGAGTTCACCAGTGGCAATGTTTCTCTGGACTTACTGAGGTAATTACTACATAGCATATTCATCTTCTTGGAGTATACTCATATTAACATTCTAGTGTAACAAGTTAAAAAAAAAGAAAAAGAAAGAAAGAAATAGATGTGCAAAAATTAAAGCTTCAAAACAAACTTCTACCTCCTTCTTACTAACATGAATAATTGATCCTGTTAGTGAATTATTCTAAATGCTAATCAAAACCATAATGATTTGTAAATCATTTCTCAATTAAACGGGAAGCATTAATTTTCTTTCTTTTTTTTTAAGCAATTATAGTCTTTTTTTTTTCCTTACCTTTAAAAAGTTATGGTTTATCAATCACATAAAGAGGTTTACCAAATAAAGCACTCTTAAAACTAGCTCTTAAAACTAGCTCTTAAAACTAGTTTGTGATTCTGAAGCAGCAGTTATTTGGTGCTTGCCAATTGTTTTAATGCAGTCTTTACCCTTCTTAACTTTCAGGTGAGAATAACATGGACATACTTGGTATAGATTATGAAAGTATGTTATTCCAAGGGACAAACATTCAGTTGAAATTCTGCAGTTGAGTTTCAGTTGATTGCTTTCATGGGTCAGTCTGCTTACAGGTTCAGCCTTCCTGGCTGAGGGCAGCAGTAGAGACCATGTGCCTGGAAAGTGAAACTTAAGGCCACAGAGTTTGTTTGAATGTACATGATCAACGTGTCTAGATTTCTTGTCGGTTAGTGAAATGGGTGTCTCTGTAAGATGATCAAATTCAGAATTCATTTTTCTTCATAAGCAAGTTAAGTTGGAAGGAGTGGGAGGAATAATCTAGAAAGAATAACATCCTTGTTCCTTATCTCGTCTCTTTGCTAAGGGTTTTGAACTGATTTTTTAGGAATGAGCCCTTAAGCCAACAATCTCCAGGCTGGTTTTCATTCACCATCCACCACTCATCCCAGTATCAAGCACTGCCTATTCGATTTAAAATACAAAACAAGAAGAAGAAAGCACATATAGCATATAAAAATCTCTTGAAGTGTTAAAGTAGGCTTAGACACTAAAGGGAGATTAGAAGCCAAAATACTGTTTTCAGGATCATTGTTGTGTTCTGCAAAAAGAAACTTATTTTGCCTTCCTTCTCATCCACACCCTGATTCCTCCTCACTGCTGCCCTAAGTGATTCTGAGGTCAGTTATTAAACTGATGTATTTGTTAACTTCTTAGTCATCCTAAGGCTCTTAATGTGGGCTGGCATGCCAGGTTCTTACAGAAGGAAATTGTGATGGTAGGAAGAGTGGAGAATGAATTATGCAGCATGTGTTATTCAATGGAAAAGACTATTGCTCCTCGAGTAACTGATTTTTACAACCCTTCCAGATTTTTTTTTTTTTTTTTGGATAGTGGTATCTTGAATCATTTGCTAGGTCAGGAAGATGTTCTTTGTTCCTTTTGAGCTTTACTGTCTGAAGGTCAGTGTGTTCCCAGCTTTTTCAATTTTTTTTTTTTTCTCTCCACATACCATGAGCACCAGCAGGTTCTTGAGAGCTTTGTGTCTGGTTGCTGTGGATTATATCTTGGCAGTGGCATTTCCTAGCTCCGTAATAGCTTACAATACTGTTCAGAAATATGGCTCGGGCCCTACTCTTTGCTCACACTATCAGTTCTACGGACCTTTCAGTTCTTTGTTTGTGTGATCAAACAAATTCAGAGTCTGTACAGCCTGTGGGGAGTGCTTAATGTCACCAATTGAATGACAAAAAGCAAACAAAATCGTCCACTTATATAATTATATTTCTTTTTAATCATATTTGCCTCTTGGTAATGAGCAAATGAGTAATTTGAATGCTTTCTTGCACTCTTGCATGTACCGACAGAATTAAAGGAACATTGTCAGAGACTGATAGTAAAACAAAAAGTCATTGTAATCTGTGTTAAATTCAGTATTGATAGTGACAAATTCTAATGAGATTTCCTCATTCTTGGGCCAAAATCCTGTTAAGAATGATCATTTGTATTTTAAATTTCTGAATTGAATACCAAAAACAGTTCTCCTTCAAAAACTTGCTGAGTTTAAACATCCATCATCTGATTCTGGCTTTTCAGAAAATGTTGAATACATGTGATTGAAAATCTGTTTAGATTTTGCAACCATCTTTCTTCGGGGGAACTTGGAATAGAAATGGGACAGATTATTCAAGCAAAGAGGAATTCAGAATAGCTAGGATGAGCTTTCATGTCTACTGGCTTTACATCCTTAATAACACGGACATTATTTTAGAATTTATAATAAAATCAAAATTTAAATAATATATGAATTCATTTATAATACATTAAAAAGGTGTTTACATAGCTAAAAAATCAGGTACCTGATTCATTCATTAGATCATAGTTTTTGATCTTGTGCCAACTTCTTGATGTGCAAGTGATAAAGCTGAGATTTAAATTCTACTTTGATTGCCGTAGTCCTAACCTAGATAAATTTTCACTTCTGATTCTGACTCTGCCATGATTTGAGCAGATCAAGCAGATCAACACTCAAGTTTTACACTATGGTCTGATGCCAGGTTACCTTTAGGCTTTTGTGTTCGTGCTTCAACATATTTTTATTCTGGATCACAAGTTGAGCAATCCAGCGCCTCTATCATTCTTGTCACTTTGTCTGTATTTATTGTGACTTGGTTTTATACACTGTAAACAGCACCAGTGGAGCTGCCTGTTCTTTTTACACATGAGGAGGCTTGCTATAAAAATTACTGTGAGATGATATGAGGCAAGGGAATGAGTATCACTCATTGCCAGTGCAGTGCAGTAAGTGGATGGACAGTACGTCATGCTGATGATGTCCATGTAAAAGATATATCAAAGAATGAGAGCTGCAAAGATGGAGAATATTTTGAAAGGTGCAAGAGGATATTTACTGCAAGTAGCAGGAACTAAGAAGTCTTCTGCTTTTCCTTCCAGCTGTTAGAACAGGCCACTGCCACACGCATGTTTCTGTGTTGTCAGCATACGTTTTTAATGAGATTCCCAGCCTGGTGGATTTGCTTAAATGTATGTGTACTTTTTCCCCCCATTCCCCTGATTTCTGCTTTTATGGATGTGTAGTGGGACATACATACTTGAGCAAGTGTCTATAACTATGAAGAATTTTTCCAAACTATAGCTTTAGGTACAGTAAGAGTCATACGCTCCTTAATAATGAGGCAATAAGGCTTGACAAATCTTTTATCACCAAATCATGAGAATGAAATTGTCTTTGTTTCTCAAGAATTAAATACCTAATATTTTGCAGGAGGTAATGAAACTCAAAATGATGATAACTTTTGAGTCTAAATGTTGCAACTTTAGGCAGAGTGGAAGAAGTGATCTCCGGGTAAGAAAAGTCTTGTTTTTTGTAAGCAACTTTTTTATCAGGTAATTAATGAGTGAAGGGAAGGAAATAAGGTGTTTTGAGATCTGTTTGAGATCTGCTCATGACTCTGAGCAGTATCAATACAGTTGCTCACATGAAATTTCTGCAGTGATTTCTTGATCAGCACTGTGGGATCTAAGTTCAGACATTATGTGAGTGTGATAAAAAAAATAATTATTTGGGTAGATTTCAGTCAGAATTGTTCATGAGTACTATTTAGTTTGCAAACTGCAACACCGCCTAGCAGATTGTTTTTATGCTGACAATTTGAACATTATTAAGAATTTCCTTAAGAAGAAAAGATGTCAGTACACAAGTCTGACATGTGGTATTTAAAATGCAAGAGGCTATTTAATTGAGTGTTTTTAGCTGCATAGTTAAATCATTCACTTTTGGATAGATTAGCACAAAATTATTTAAGAACTCTGTTGAATTTGTCATGCTCTACAATTATGCTTTTGCTTCCTTGTTTTGTTTTATTTCGGCTTAGTTGGTAATCGTTACTGCCTCAGATGAGGATTAATCTTCAGTTTCAAATTTCAACTTTGGGGAAGACGTTTGTGTCCTGCACCTGGTGAATGTGAGATCTAAAAGAAAAATCAATGCATCAGAAACAAGGAAGGAGAGAACTGTGAAATTGTAAGCAATGCCCTGTCAACTCCCCCCAGCTTGCTGAGGGAGAACCACCTGGCAGCATCAAGCTAAGAGGCTTTTCTTTTTTTTTTTTTTGTTCTTTCCTTCTTCCCTTCTTGTCAGCTTGACACTTTTCAAAGCCAACTCTCATGTGTTTCTGCTGATTCAGAAGAGTGCCCTGATATATTTCCTGGGCTTTACAGGTCTCCAGGATTGCTCTTAACTTTTTTCTTAGGAATATCTCTTTGAGAAGCACAAGCAACAGTAGTACAGGTGTGGTGTTTTCTTTGTTTTGTTTTGTTTTTCTTTCATGTTTTATCTGAGACTGTTGTGATCCACTAGGCTGCCTGTTAAACAGTGCAGAGAGGTAATCTGGATCTTCAGCAGATCCTTTGGCTCAGCTTCCCTTCTGGTTACTGTGGTGGAAGGTGGTCAGGAGTGCTCTGGCAGGCGGCAGTGTCTTCTGTACTGTTGTGTGTTCACATGGTGCTAGGTGAGATGATGGCAAACAGCCCATATGTTTCGCATTTGATTTCAAATCGGAGCCATCTGCTTGTGGATGGGAGGACAAGGAGATTTCTGTGGTTGAGCAGTGAGTGCTTGTCAGAGCTCAGGGAGGATCTTCAGGTACATTGTAATCAGGGACAGGCTCTACCCTTTCTTCAGTCTTTTCCCTTCACAGTATCTGTGTGTCTATCTTAAGCTTGCAGCTTAAAGTCTGTCACCCAGCTCTTCAGAATTCAGGAAATGAGACAATATGCTATTGGATAATTTCAGTTTTTATTTTCCCTCTAATAATTTTTCCAAGGCAAAGGATATATGAAGTCTCTAATCTCTCTGAAGATATCCCATTAACAAGGACTACCTGGTTTTCTCGTATTTTTTGCCTTTTACTGTGAAAGTGGTGATATTGCTTTTAAAGATACAGGAAGCAAAGAAATGCCTCCTGTATGATCAGTAACAAATCCCTCCTGTATGATCAGATCCTGTATGATCAGTTAAAGGAGATGTCACTTAAAAAGACAGAAGAAAAGAGGGATGGATAGAGTGGTTCAGGAGTTCAGGATCTCTGTTACTTTGAAGGCAGACTAAAAGGTCAAAGATGAAGGGACTTCTTCAATGCCCTCCTCCCCTTTTGGTTTCAAATCAAATGTTATTGACCTTCTTATTTAAAGATTTGTCTAGAGGCAAGACAGAGAGGATTGTTAGCTTCCATTTTTGTTTTGTTTTGTTTGTTTGTTTTATTAAATGAGTTCAAAAACTGATTAACCTTTCACATAGAAACTAAGAGTTTCACTGGCAAAACTGAGCCTGAAGTTTGCTCTTGGCAGAACTCCCCCTAGAAATACTAGCGGATGCATCTGCTTGAGTAGTCGCATGTAAATGCTGAGGTGCCAGGAGCACTGTAATAATGACTGCAGTGGCTTTTGAAGGCATTAGGAAGTTTCTGTTCAAAGATGGTCTTAAGTATTTAACATTTTTTTTTTCTTTACAGTTTACATGGAATAAGGAACACCATCTCCTGAGTACCAGATTTTCTTCCCCTCTTTTCCTTCTCAGACAAATAATAAGTAGAGTATTTTAATTAAGACATTGCTTTCTTACCTATATGGTAAACTGCCAATGCAAAACAGAGATGGTTAGAGAACACATCCAGAGAGTTCTTTGTTGTGGCCTGCAGTAGCCTTTTCCTAACATAGGAATGGTAGCTCCAAATATGAGACACTTATGAGGTAATCTCACAAAGTCTAGCATCCCCTCTGCAAACATGGTGAAGCACTTTTCTCTATTTCGATATAAGCTTTTGCTTCTAGCAGATAATCTGGTGGGCATCTATGTGATCTCTGCTGTAAGATTGGTTGTTCTTCTGGCTACACATTTCTGATCTTCTGTTTTATTATTGTTATTTTTTGGCAGATACTGAACGTCTCTATACGATGGTGTTCCAAGAAATCTGCGAGCGTTTTGGAAAGACATATACGTGGGAAGTGAAATCCTTGGTCATGGGTAAAAAAGCCTTAGAAGGGGCACAGATTATGCTGGATGTTCTAGATCTTCCAATGACTACAGAAGAGTTGTTACATGAAAGTAAAATGAAGCAGGAGAAAATATTCCATACTGCTGAACTGTTGCCAGGTACACTTCCCTTCTGTATTTGTAAACTGCATTTGCTTAAATAATAACCAATGTAGAAGTCGTTAAACTGCCTTTCACATAAATTTCTCTTACAGATTCAGTTTCATTATTCTTGGTTTCACAAGTTTAACTAAAATGTGTCTTTTAGTTACCTGCTAAAGAGCTAATTGGGATACAGAAAATTTTTCTTGCACACTTAGAAAACAGCTCCTTTTTATATATCTTTTAAAGAAACAAAAAAGAACAAATACTGGGTAAATATACTTGAATTCCCTTAATTTCTTAGTCCAGCCATGCTTTAAAATATTTGTTTGCAGCTGTGTAACTTAGCAAGTTAATTTTACCTGGCTGTATGTGTAGTCTGTCTTCATGTTAAGCACAAGCACCAGCTGTACAGGTACAGGCAAATCTTTGTGGGCATGTGTTTTTTCAGGTGAGGTTTTTCTCACTCAGTTTGAGCACTGAAAGTTAGGCATGGCATGTGAGCTAGATGGTTGTCAATGGAGGGGGAGGGTTGCTCAGCTTATCCTAATACAGGTGAATTGAATTACCCTCCAAAGATGTTTATTCTGGCAGTCTCTACAATGCATTGATGATGACGCTTTAATTTTTTAGATTTTGTTAAGATGCGGTTTCATAATGCATTAAGAGCAAAGCTAAAAATATATGACATGTTAGGAAAAAATAAAAATAAACAAAATTAAAAGATATACTTTTTGGCTGCACAAGGATCTTGAGCCTTTCAGGTGCCTCCAAGTTACTTAGATAATCTTTCAAATTCTGTCTTTCCTAGTGACAGGATTGCATAAAGCTGCAAGCTTAGTTAAACTCTGTATGAAAAAAAGAAAAGTGAGGGAAGTTGATTTTGATTTTTTTATGTTGGACTTATGGATCTAACTGCAGATATTTCTTTTGCAAGACAAACAAAACACCCAAGTCTATGATTAGTAATTGCCAGACAGACAGACCGGAGAAGCATTTGAGGCACTGAGATGTGTCATAGTGATGGAGCAGTACTTCACTGTAGTACGTTTAATAGTCACCATTGAATAGATACTGTGCGTTTGCTTTTGAAGGGTGTGATAATGTTGCTGAGCTGGCTTGGACAAAATTCAGAGAGGTGATAGAACTGAATAGCCGAATAAAACATTGTTTTTCACTTTTACTGCTGTCGGAAGTGAATTCCAGGCTCACTTAAGCTGGGCTACTGCAGATTTGCAAATTTTTTGCTGAGACAAGCCTATAAACACATTTATCATAGCCAGAATTGTTCAACTGATTATTCTTTCCATTCAAATACTTATGTGCAATAATTTTCTTTGAACTACATTCTGTTACAAAATACACCTTATTTCTCTTGGCCGTTGTGGAAAGCAAAGTCAGCCTTGGTCACTGAAGTAAAAACATCTAACCTTTACTTGTTAGCATATACAAGATACAGGTTGAATTGCCATTTATTTCGATAAAACCAGCTTGATATCAGCTGGCAATCCAAAATGACACTAGTTATCAATTATTTAGTTTCGATAAAGATTGACCTACGCTTAAATCTGTTAACTAGATTTTTTTTCTAATTTGGTAACTTTCCCCTGACTCACATATCTTCTGCAGATGTTAATTAATGCAATCTTTGTAGATTTATTCTACAGCCTTTTGTTGTTCTTTGATTAAGATTGGACTTTATGCAGGTATTGGGTAAGACCTGAATGAGACGGCCAAAGATGTGAATAAACAGTGGTGACTGACATTTTTGGGCTTAGAATGTTCTCTGACTAGACTGATGTTTCAGATTTGTTATGGGTAAACACAGGGAAGAGAAAATTAGTTGTCTGTATTAATGACGTAGGACAACTCCCGCTTGCTGAGCTTCTCACTGGCCGACCTTGGCAGATAATTTGGGCAGGTGAGGTTCTACATTCAAACAATTTTTACAGTTTTCCAAAAAATAAGATCCAAAGTTGGATTGGTGTAGATCAGTGTTGAATGATAGCCAATGTAGTTAAAAGTGTTACTGAAGCAGAACAGCCCTTGTTTCTTTATAGGGAGAGGAGGTCAGAGAAGGATCTGTTATGTTTCTTGCCAGTTACAGCAGTGGTAACTGCATTAATTTTCAAGTAACTGAATGTTAGGTCAGTGCTGGTTAAGGATGTGATGGAAGCTGCACGAACATTCAATTGCCAAAGCAGTGCTTCATCTTAGAGTCTGTATCATCTAATATATAACAGACATCTGAGATGTTAGTGGTTGAAAACAAGTTTGAAGATTCCAGAATGGCCGAAGTGACTTGCAATACATTAAGCTGTGGTTTCATCTACGAAGTATATATATATACATATATATATATATCTTTTTTTATAATTTGGAATTTCCAGCAAACACTTAGAAGTTTTTTACTGTTAGATTTAATTTTCTGAACAAATCATAGGGCAAACTAGGTTTGAGACAATATAGTAAGGAATTATCCAAGACAGTGCTGACAAAGTGACAGGGCTGCCATTTGTGCTGCTTATCTAAATATTGCTCTCAACTACAGACCTTGTCATCTGCAAGGATGATATAGCAGGCTTTCTGTTTCTGCAAATAGGGTGTTACATTTCAGTAAAGTAGATTGTCAGATGAATGAGGGCTGTAAAGGAATAGAAGAACAGGGTGGAATATATGAAACCTGCCTATGTACATTTGCCTAAACACACACTTAAGATGAATCCAGGATATACATACAGCCAGGAAAAAAAAAAAAAAAACTTGTTGAGTTATATAGCTGTCAACAACACTTATAATTATGTCGTATGGGTTATGAAATTAATGCCATTCTTTCATAGCATTCTCTTTTTCACTCATATTACAACACAAAGCCCAGGTGCTTAAGCATCATGTGAGCCAGCGACTGTGCACTTTCAAGAAGTTTCCACTCCTGGCAGTTGCTTGGGGATAGCTGAAATATTGTTGTCAGAGTTCCTCTTCAGCCAGTGTAGGATGTGATGTGCAAGCTGCGTACAAGTTTAAGTACTAGTGGTTGTTTCTTTGTAGACACAAGGAGTTACCTCTCACAAGTAATCTCACAAGGATTACTCTCATAGCTCAATTTTAGCACAAACTGAAACCCACAGAATTTCCTTAATTCATGCCCCTAACAGTTAAACACACTTCCTTCCATGTTACCTTTTATATTCTTTGCTATTGTTGTTTAATGGAAGGAAACTCTAGTGAATCCCTGCTGGACTTTGTAAGTCTGTAACTACCAGATATTAGTCACTTACAGACTTCAAACTATTTGATCTCTGTACTAAGTCATAAAGGAGCAACCCAGAAACGTTTTTACCAGAAAACCACTGTTGCTGTTGGCAAAGGTTCTGAATTACGCTTTTATTTTCGCCATGGTCAAAGGTGTCAGGATGTCTAAAGATGGGATTATCGATTTGGTAATCAAGGAGGTTGTGAGCCACCAGAAAGATATTCAATACTCTAAATTTAGAGTAAGAAAGTGAGAAAACCAAATTCTTTGCTAGTAGTCAATTATCTTCCAAGTCAAGATTTTAGTTTCCACCTCCACTTTTCTAGCTTAGAGAAAGGATAACATACCATTGCAGATAATGTCTTTAAACAATATCTGAGAACAGGAAAGAAAGAGGTGGATACAAGAGCTATGTATCTGAGGTCTCACAAGGCTCGTAGCAATTACACCAAGTGGTAGATGGCCCCACCTCTGTCACTCTATCACCATCACAGCGGCAAGGCTGACTTCACTTGAGGATTGAGGGCGAGTGCAGATAATGAATAGCTCTGTGCTGCTGGGCTTGCAGCTGTTGTAGCATGCCAGGCTGCATCAAAAATATTTTTAAATCAGTTTGCGATTTAGGTGGACAGACAATTTTTCCCTGTGTTGTGAGATTTTGTTTTTCTTTGCTGTGTTCTGTGTTCAGAGACTGACAAGGTTTTAACTGTAGAATTGCTTTTATGGTCATAAAAGATTGTAATTGAATCACCCAGAAATCCAATCCAGTTGACAAGTCTCTGAATGCTAATGTTAACTTTTCTTTGATTAAAAAGAGTGATGAAATCTTGAAGATCTGAAAGTTTGGTCTGGCATTAGATTCAATACAAGGACTATAAATGATTTTACAAGAGAGGAGCAGTCTCTTTGTACAGAGGTTATATTTATCCCTACAAATTCAATTTGTTCACAGCAGGTTATAAATCGTCCAAGATATGCATAATACATGTATGTAGTTAATTTAAACAATGGACTGAGTTTTTTGGTTTCCTTTAGTCTTTTTCTCAGCAGTAAAACTCTTTATTTCAAATACAGAAGGTTCACAGACTCTCGTTCTGAGTAACGTGTTATGGCAAAGTGAAGAGTACATGAGTACAGGTCTCTGAAGACCATAGTTTTGGTCATTTGGGCATTTTTTTTTTTTTTTTGAATCTGAAATTGCAGACGTGATACAAGTTGAGTACTGTATTTTTTCAGTGGTGGGTAGACACAGGAAAAAGGAAGAAAATTGGAATATATAGAAAATAAATAAAAAATATATACATTGTTTATCATTCTGCAGTATAAAGTTAAAAAGGAAAATCAAAAATTACCATTATTTTCCATCAAATTGAATAAGCTTTTTCAGGACTTTGGAGCATTTTATTAAATTTGGCTTCATAAGGAATAACGCCATTCGTTTATAAAATGTGATAACTTTTAAAAATACAATGGAAAACAGTGTCATAAAAGCACACAAATATTTAGACAAGGACTATCCCTGGGCAACTGTTTTAGGGCAGCATTCTTTTGGCTTCCTGAACTTTGGTCTATGTGTTTGCATTGGTCAAATATTGGGTTCTTCTGTTGCTCGGTACAACAAATCTTACCTTTAGCTTGTTGATTGATTCAGTTTATTACAGTCAACTTGATTTCAGCTGAATCCAAAGAGAATGAAGAGAACACTGATAGAAGGTTGAAATACTTTCTCCTTTTTTTTTTTCTTTTTTTTTCCCCCAAAGTTATT